TGGCGAAGACTGGTATATAACTGATGGATTCAAGAAATCATCCCCCGTTGACCTCCCAAACTGCTGGGATTATAGGCAAGAGCCACCATGCCCTGGCAAGAAGGAAGAAAAAGACCCCTACCCTACAGCAATCTACATAAAGTGACTACGTGTTCTAAACCGGCATTAAGAGGGAGAAGGCAGGGAAAGAAAATGCCTACAATCATAAAGTAAATATACTATAAGAGAAATGCTCTGTTGAAAAAACTGTAGACATTACAGGCTTTGAATGGCTTCAAAATTTGCATATTCAGTGTAAATATTTAAACACCTATGTTTATAAGAATATATAATACCTATAAGTCTTCTCTTTTTATAAAAGAACAAATAGGATATTAGTGATGACAATATCAGACTGGGGATTAAGAAAATGGGATTTAAAATCAAGTAAAATTGTCCCACAGAATAGAACCTAGGATTAAGCCTGTATTTCTGAGCTGCTTATTCAGGCAGACTCATTTTTTTTTTTCCTGGCCTGCTTACCATTGTTCCTTGACCAAAGCCAGAGCCTGAATTTGGCATTGGCTTCAGAAGTAGCAAATTTAAGTTTCAGTAGATGAAGGCAGGAAAATCATTTACTTTGTGTGTTTAAAAAAAAAACAAACAGATATAAATGAAACAAAATACAGTGTTTACTTTTTAGCTGTATAGGGTGGTACACATATCTGAAAACTAAAATGTTATTCAATATATGGTTACTCTTAACCCAGAATCTAATAGATCTGGTACTTAGGTTGTCATAATTATAGTAATAATGTATCAGTGTAAGAATTTGGTAATAATGCATCATAATTACAGTAATCACATTATCTGAAGTAGCACCTAATTAAAAGTAATTATAAGTTACAAATCAATCTTTCTAACCATGGTGGCACTAAACTGTTTCTTAATTTAGATAATGAAAACTATGAGAAAGGAATAAAAAACAAAATTAATTATTAATCTCTTAGAGTTTTGATTTGCTTATTAATAAATAGTCTTTTTTTCTAAGTATTTTAATTTCTTAAGCATGTATTTTAATTCTATACACTTTGGGGTTATCTAATACTTTTTGCTCTTCAATATTTGCTTTTTTAAATTTTTCTAGCTTTCTTCTGATAAAGAACTTTCCCTATTTCTCTTCAGCCACTTACTTATGACATTTTAAACAAGTCATTTATCAAACTCTTAATACTGTAACTTTCTTATCTATAAAATATTGACAGCTATAATACCTTCCTCAGAGTTAAGGAAGGATGGGTTAAGAGAATATAAGTGAAACTTTTAGCACAGTACTTAATAGGAAATACAATAAATATAACCAACTGTAAATAAAAAAAATAAAAGTAAAGCCATGGGTTTAAAATGAGTATTGCCAATGACTAAAAGATTGTGGCACTTAGTATGTACCGACGCTGTGTGTCCCAAGCATTTCAAAGTAGGATGTCATGTAATCCTCACAATATTCCCCATAGCAATTTCAGCAATTTTTTCCTTTTCTTTCTTTCTTTCTTTTTTTTTTTTCTTTTTTTGGTGACAGAGTCTCACTTTGTTGCCCTTAGTAGAGCGCTGTGGCAGCACAGCTCACAGCAACCTCAAACTCTTGAGCTCAAGCAATCCTCTTGCCTCAGCCACCCGAGTAGCTGAGATTACAGGCACCTACCACAATGCCTGGCTAATTTTAGAGACGGGTCTCACTCTTGCTCAGTCTGGTCTTGAACTCCTGATCTCAAGCCATCCACCCACGTTGGCCTCCCAGATGCTAGGATTATAGGCGTGAGCCACCATGCCCGGCCTCAACTAGGTATTATTAGTTCACCAGCTTCACCAATGAAAAATAGTAAGAAAGGGAAAAGTTAAATAACCTCCCCAAGGTCACGTAGCAAACAACTGGTAAATCGAGATTTAAACTGTATTAAACTTACTCCAGAGTGCACACTTGTATGCATTATGCTGTGCTTATATTTATATCAGTGATGTATACAGAAGAGTCAAGTCAGGACTTCAACCCAAACACTTAAAATAGAAAAAAGGAAACTGAGTCATAAGAAAGAGTTTCACGTTCTATCTAAGGCAAGACCGGACTTTGAAACCCAAGTAGGAATTATAGGTGATAACAAAGGTAAACCAAGACAAGTAGCTGATTCTGAATAAATATGAATAAACAAATACATTAAACCAATGTTGAATTTGCCAAGTCCCAAGGCCCTAGGAAGAACTAACTCATATCTGACACATGGCACAGGTTACTGTGGAAACAGGAGATGTCAAAGTTTCCTCAGTCTCGATTAAGTTAAAGACCTAAATCTGACAGCAAGAAGAAAACTGTCAACATTTCGTGAATAGGGGAAATAAAAGAATTTCCCATAAAACATAGATTGTTAAAATGTTATTAATATTTGACCATATACATTTCATATAATTTGATATTTCATTTCAAATATTCTTCAAATTTAAGCATTTTTTTCACCAAAGAGCACCAGAAATATCTATGCCATCTTCCCTTGTGACTGATGTTATGCGGGTGGTATTCAGAAGGCAAAGATAATCACCAAAACATCTGGCACAGTTCGTAGGAAGAATCATGGAAAATTCACTTAGTCGCTTGCAAAGTTGAAACAGAAATATTTTTAATTCAGTATTTTTTAATTATACAATGTTACTACAAATTAAATAGGAATTGTAGAAAGCAATTATCAAATAATATTAAAGTATTATATAATTTCATGAAAATTAAGATAATTCTAAGACAGCATGGCACTGAGATATTGTTCCCTGTGGAATCATTCACTTGAACTTACAGCAAAATTTGATTTTCATCTCCTTCACTTTTGGGAGGTCCAATGCCCAACTATTAATTTTACATGAATTTTTTTTTTAAGGAAAAACCTTCTATTTGAAAATTAGATTGTGGTGACGGTTACGTAACTGTAAATAAACTGAAATTCAATAAACTGTACTCTTACGAGAGGTGCATTTTATAGCATGAAATTTGTCTCTCAATAGATTTGGTTTCAAAATGCACCCTCTACCGAGCAGCTGGGCTTAGTCAGGCTGCTTTCTTGAACGTTGTCCTCTGTGGCATCAGAAAATGTCTCTGCACCTCTGTCATGTGAGACAGAGCAGGAGATAAAGATAACACGGGGTTCAACCCAACCAGCATTGAGCAAATTGTCTTGACTGACTCTTTTCCAATAAAAAAAGCAAAAATAAGCCTGCTAATGAGGCTTCCACGTAGAACTGTTTTTGCGAAGCCTACTCCTCAAAAACTAACAAAAGGCTTAAAATAACTATTACAGGACTCACTAGAAAATATGGTGCACATATAAAGTTCATTCAGTGAAATTAATGAAATAGCAAATGTACTTGGGCTACCAAAAAAAAAAAAATAAAAAGAGTAAACAAAGACATTTCCCATGGGAGAAGAAAACAAAACCACAGAACATCATGTCATAAAGCACATGCAGAAATGTCACAGATTTTGAAGGCCACATGCTCTGTATCACTACTTTGATCTATTTCCAGCATAATTTTATTAGCACACGATTCAGTAAAATATCATATATGCTATTTTAAATGCTCACATATTTTCACACTGCAGAGACCAACAGAAACTACACTAGAACCTGTTGAGGTAGATGTTTCTTCCTTGATTCTGAGATGCATGTGACATTACAAGGCAAAATACCCCAATTGTCTTTTTTTTTTCTAGGCATTTTTTCCCTAAATTAATAATGTACCTATTTAACAGGCAATATCTGTGCGGTTGTTAATTGATTTTAACATAATTTCTACTCTGCCTTATTTATGGTGAAATACATTAAAAACTGGCATATAATATATTTTAATTCTATTAATATATTAATTCATAAAAATTTCTTGAGTAATAATTGAGAGTTGAAACCCTTAATGGTCACCAAATTAAAAAAATATATTTTACTATAGAAAAATTTAAATATTAAAACAATAGATCCGAGAAACCTCCCCATACCATCATTTATTGATACAACAGTTTCAATAATTTGCCATACCCACTGTGTCTATCTTTCTATATGTTTTAACGATACCGACTTTAAGGAAAATTTCAGATTTTATGATTTCCACCCTTACGTGCTTTACTAGGCGTGTCTAGCACAACTATAAATTTGATGGTTACCAAACTTTTCTTTAGTTTGAAACATTACTAAACAGACATATATATTAAAATATTTCTATTTTTAATCATGCTATGAAGGTATATTAATTTTAAGATTTATTTAAGGTTTACAGAGGACAAAGTGTAAAAATTTTGAATTGTTCTTCTCCATTTAAATACATTTGGTTCCTTATATTTTGTTAGAAATGACTGTCCAAAAGCACACATAAAACTGTTAAAATTTTAATGTAAGTGAAGCAGATGGCAACTTTTTTCAAGTCATACTTGCGGCTCTGTTGTATTTATCTGTGTGTTTAATGATGGACAGCCATCCATACTTCTTTTAAATGCCAAAAGTAGAAATATAATCTGCCGCCTTGATGTGCAAAATCTTTACCCCAAAGATGAGTTGAGCAAATTTCATGTCTTGTAAAATATTTAAAATTCTAGAATATAATTTATAGTGTTCGAAGCAATTGGTATATATTGGCAGCAGAGTAAATATATTGGAATATCATTTCAACAGTGATCACTTCCATTGATGTAAGCTAATAAAATTAAATAACGGTGACAACACTGATGATATAGCATCATGACTTTCTCATAAGATACAAATAATTTAAAACCTCTGTAAGCACTCATACAAATGTTAAATTACTATACTAATGTATCAATGTCCTAAATTAGCATTTTAGCTCTAACAGCCAAAAATCGTGACTTATTCAAGTATATTCTATTTATTTTTATATATATACTTTAGGACTTATTGAAGATTAAAAAATTATTTTAAAGACAATCTTCTGTCTTTATTTTTTTACCATGCCACATATCTCTGACTGAACCATACCTTCATAGTAACCATCTCTCCTGGGCTCTTCCTTCTTTGGTGATTTTTTAACAGAAATGTTACGTGCATTGTTTTTGAATAATGCCAGCCGCACAGTAGGGTCTAGACAAAGAGAGCAAGAAGGAGAAAGTTCAGTTCTGGTTCATTTCTTCTCTGAAATGGCCATACCTTTCCTATAGGATGGTATTAAAAACAGTATCCCTCCTATAACACTATATGAAAGCGGTCATGTTATTCCAAACCTTGTAATCTGAAAAGGGAGCCAACTGTGTATATATTCTGGGTTATCTGACAATACTTTAAATATGGGAAAGAAATTCCCTACCTTTTTCCTACCAAAAGTATAAGGAGCTGGGATGTAGGAGATGGAATCAAAATAACTATGGGATGAGAAGATAGAAAAAAATAACTTCATAACTTTAACCTCTTTCTAGGCTGTGTTTAGTGGTTTCTTGTTTGCTCGAATGTATTTACCTAACCAAGAAGATGTATAAATTCTCGGTTTTTTAAAGCCAGGAACATTATAAGTCTATTAATGTTATAAAATAAATTACAGTGAATGTAGGGCCCATGATTTTTTTAGTGGTAATAAGTTGTGGTTCTATGGGATGTGAAAATGCAGATTTGGTTCTGTTGCACTAAGACAAAGAGTTTCTGCTTATTGATGGACTGGATAAAAAGAGACAGTGATATAAGGACCAGGGCTTAAAATAGAGACTGGAAAGTCAGGCATTTCTGGTGGGGTTAGGGAAGAATGCCTTTTTTTTTTAGGATATTACATCATGTAAAAACTAAGAGAAGTTAAGAATTTTTGATTAATATCTAGTGTAATAGACTTGAATATGATGAATGAAAAATAATAAGATTTTAATTGTCATAATACCAAACCGCATATTTTAATTCAGTGCTAAAGCTGCATCTTTTTTATTTGGAATGTGAATTAGAGAAGCCAAATAAATAGTATTCTCCACCAAGAACAAGCTGACAACTTCTACTACTCTTCTAGTAATGATTTAATGAAGTATGATTTATATGTTTCACAGAAATTACTTTTCTCAACATAGAAACAATATTGGTCAACGTCTGGGTACATCTCATAAGTTATGTGATCTCAGATATTGTCAGAGTTGGAAGTTTCTGTATGGACTCAATATGAACTACCAATGGCAATATTAAAAAATCTGCTTATATGGTTAATATATTTCATAAAATAAGTATTAGATATAATGTAAATAATTTACAAAAAAGTTGACATGTCAAGATGTCAAGAGAAGCATCAGTCAATCAGGAAAAGCAGATTATTATAAGTTTAAAAACTGCTACCTTAGGACCATTGTTCTGTTTTCCCACTCTGCTAGCTTTTCTATTTGATCTATGCGTTTTCGGAGCAATGATGTTACATTTCAACAGATCTGGGTTAGGTCGAAGTTTCAACTTTTACTAGCTCTATTGCTCATCTAGATACACTGCTCTCACCCCTAGCCTCCTTTTCTGTTCAACAGCAATAATTGGTTTTGATGTATTCCTGTAAGAATTAATGAGATAACATGTAGAACATCAAGCCCCACACTCATGTAAGTGGAGGTGCCAGCAAATGCCAACTTACAGACATACAACTACAGTGGAGGCAATGATAATATCTGTAACTTATACTCCTGGAAAAGACCTTACATCTTTTTTTTTTAAATTAAATGATAGCTGTATACATTAATGCAAACATGGGGTACAGTGTAGTGTTTTCATATACATTTTGAAATACTTTCATCAAGCTGGTTCACAGACCTTACATCTTTCATAAAATATAGTGGGATATATAATACAGACGGATGGATTCATAATTGGCTCCATTTTATTTATCATAGCACTCTGAAAAAAGCTATTGACCTTTTATAATTTTTCGGCACTTCCTTTGTCAAGTAATAATCCATGACTTGATTACTTAATATATAAAATAAGGATAAAAAATAGCACTTTCCTAACACCATCATTAATATCAAATAATTCAATAAATATAAAACATTTAAAAGTGGTCTACCTCAATTTACTCAAAATTATGTTATTCCCCAAGAGCACACAGAGAGCTACATTATCAATATCCTTTACTTTAGAACATTCTCATTGCATCACCTTAAATTGATCGAACATTGGAATGGATTAAAATTGTGCAGGGCTAGTGATAAGCAAGAAACACGAATTTCAGATGAGAAAACCAATCACTTGATTTTGACAGCCATTGGCAATACAGCTGTGAATGACACTGTTCTTACCGTGGAATAATTCAAAATCCAGTGAGAAATCCAAGGGGTAAAGATATTTTAGAGCATAGTTTGTGACACTTTTCCCCATGCGTCATGAAATCAGTGTTATACATTTAATTCTACTCTTCCATGATGGACAATGGCAGGTCTATGTTACTTTGTAAAGAGTATCTTTCACCCTGGTTTTCCCAGTGTAGGAGAAATATGTATTGAATACACAGGTAAAAAGTTTAAGAACCCCGTAGGTAAGTCACTTTGGTATCCCTATTATATAGGTGGCACTATATTTGATACGTACGTCCATCATCTTCCTGAAGTAGCGTACTTTTAGTTAGGCATGACGGTATCCACAAAATTATTTCATTCACTGCATATTCCTCTTGCAACTACTATAATTATAATTTAAGCTCACTGGTTTACTTCATTATTATTACTTTTACCAAAAAAATCTAATTATAACTCATTTCTGTAGGTGCCAAGTTGGATAGTTTTACTTACAGAAATAAGTTTTATGTTAAAGTTGAAGGACTGTATTTCTTCATCTGTAATAGTCTCTAATTAAATCTGCCTTTCCAAATATAAACATGTATTTAAATTACTTGAAATACACAGACACAGTCATATATATGCCTACTGTCAAATAGTTTAATAGTGATTTTTATCTAATTTATTTTTGAGGCATTTAACTTTTTTTTTTTTTTTAATGTCAGTCTACTGGGGGAGTACATAGGTTTTGGTTATATAATTTGCTTTTGCACAGTTGGAGTCAAAGTTGTAAGTGGTTCCTCTCCCCAGATAGTGTGTGCACGGTGCCAGTTACCCAGCCCTCCTCCCCCTCCCACCTGGATGCCTGATTTACTCCCTTCTGTGTATCTAAGTGTTGATCGATTAGTTCCAATTTAGGATTGAGTACATGAGGTGTTTATTTTTCCATTCTTGTGGTACTTCGCTTGGAAGAATGGTCTTAAGTTCTGTCCAGTATCTACTAGGTATTAAGCATAGTAATAGGTTCTAGAAAATCAGTAGGGATTCAGCCCTCAAGGATCATACTCTTCAAGTGAATTTTATTATTGTTTTGTTGAGAACACAACAGAATAAAATTTCGTCAAAATTCTCAAAAGTTCTTCCTGGAAATTAGTGAGGTAAGCAAAGCAAATCTTGAATGAACTTACTTTTGCTGGAGTTTTGTCTTATTGTCCCTTTTCATCCCTCCCCCTTAACAGTAAATAACTTGATTGCTTTGTTATAATCTAAGAATTGTTTACTTTATATTAAAAAATAGACTGTCTTAACTTTTTATTTGACTTCATTTGGGGCTATGATTAAATGTTACCAACACAGTCTCAGGCTATTTTCTTCAGGCAAATAAACTCAGCAAATAATTACTAAATGTGTAGTATGTACTTGATACTGTGCTAGCCGGTACCAAGAAGCGTAAAATAAGTTTTATCGCTCCCTACGGCTCTACTTTCACAACTTAATTAATCCTGCTTGCTTCATTTTCTTCCTTCTTCTCTCTAAACTATAAACATTTAAATTTGATACATATAAATATCATTGTAGAACAACCATATTCTGTCTTCATCCTCTGTTCTTAGCCCTTCAACTACTTACTAGCTGCACTTCACAAAATTTCCTAAATTCAGGCCTCATTCTCTCTGAGGAGTGCTGCCCCTCAAACCCCCCACACAGTCCTTTTCCTCATCCCGCTCATCTCCGTCTCCCAACCAATAACATCCACTACTCTAGTTTACTGGCCCTGAGTATTTTCAGCAGGCCTGCAACTCTCATGTTACTCATGGTGTTCTCCACTGCAGTACCTTACTCTAAACTTCCCTGGGTATCTGCTAAATTCCATTGCAGATCACCAAACACTGAAATTACTTCTGTGCATGAGGCAATAGTGAAAACAAACAAACAAACACAAAACCCACAAGAGCAAGACCAGGCTTTAGTGTTTGGGGCTTTTGTCAGTCATGAGGGAAACAGCAATTACTTCCTAGGAAAACAAAAACCATAAAGGCCAAACAAACTGAGTAAATCGTGACAACTCTTCCAAATGTTAGATTCCATCCTGTGGTTTCCAATCCATCCCTCCTCCTCCTCCACTCTCCTTCTCTCTTTAAAGCAGGTATCATCACTCATGTTAATGGAAGTAATCAAAACTGAGTCTTCCCTAATCCCTGGGACACTAGGGTTTCCCCAGTTTCTGCTTTTTCATTAATCAGCATCCTCACCAGTGTTCTTCCTCTGGGGGACAGAAGGAAGAACCAACTGAGTCCATTACACTTCACTCTCTTTAGTTAATTACCCCCATTCCATTTGTCCTAGTTTTAGTCTCATCTTAAATAAAATATTGTTGACTCATATTCCTTCAATATAACAGTATGTATAAGAATCAAACAGAATATGTGTGGCCTCTGTGGGTAAAGGAGTAGGAAGCCTCATATACCAGAGGTGGTAGGTTCAAACCTGGCCCTGGCCAAAAAAAAAATAAAGAATCAAACAGAATATATTAAGTGATTACTATTGTGCTACATGCTCTAAGGTTTTTTGTTTTGTGGCAGAAGTTTGAATTAAAGCTTCCATACTCCATGTATTTGTGGAGAATTCCTTGAAGATGTCTTCTTTGTTATATTGTAGGAAATAATTTTTGACATGATTGAATGTTTTTTGTTGTCTGACACCCCTCCTGCCACCCTCCCTAACCCGAGGGCTAGTTACTGTCACAGCAGTTTTATGCACAACGTTGCCCTCTGGTGGCTTGAAAATTTTAAGTTGGCAAGTTGTCCATGGGAGAGGTACTGTAGACCTCCGTATATATTTGAAAATTACTAGTATATATTTCAGTCTTTAACAGAATCTAAGTATTTAATACATTATTTTCACTCAATGGTGGGTAAAAATTTTAAATTGTGCCCATAACATTTGACACATTCAAATAAATAATGGCATATCATCGATAGATTAAATTAGAAAACTAAAAAGTACTAGAAAATTGTTCGTACTGTGAGAATATTTGAGGCACAGAGTCCTAAGCGATGCAGTCACGGATACGAAGTGATATAAGAGCTAAGTCATCAACTTAATGGAAGATGAAGAATGTGATAATTGGAGAAATTGCTCCAATTATCACATTTTACCCACCTTGAAAATTTAGTCAGTGTAGCTGTTGTGAAGGGGGCGTAGAAGAAAACAAGGAGGAGAATATAAAGTGTATCATTAAATGTTACATTTAAGCGAATATTCAAATATTGAGGCAAACTACTTTTGTTTCATTAATCTAATATTATCGTAATGAAAGAAGCGAGACAAAGTGTAGCAGTCCACAAAATCTCACACAGGGTGGCGCCCGTAGGTCAGTGGGTAGGGCGCCAGCCACATACATCCAGGGTGGCGGGTTCGAAACCAGCCTGGGCCTGCTAAACGGTAATGACAAGTGCAGCAAAAAAACAGCCAGGCATTGTGGCAGGCGCCTGTAGTCCCAGCTGCTTAGGAGGCTGAGGCAAGCAAATTGCTTAAGCCCAAGAGTTTGAGGTTGCTGTGAGCTGTGAAGCCATAGCACTCTACCCAGGGCGACAGCTTGAGACTCTGTCTCAAATAAATAAATAAATTAAATAAAACCTCATACAGTATTGAGATTGCAATTTGGATTACAATCATGAAATTATAATGATAATCCTCCCCCCAAATTATACAACTGTCATGTAGGATTTTCATCTAACCAGTCAATGACCACTGCTAACAATGTGGTCCTCAAAGTGGCTGCCTGGTAGCTCTTTCTCATTTGTTACCCTACTGCGCCCCCTGGTGACTGATAAAAACAATCTCTCTCTCTTTTTTTTTTTGCCTGATAATTATGTCTAATCACGGTCATTAAAGCAATAAGTTTTGTGTCTGAGCATACATTCATTTGCTAAAACATATTATTTACTATGTTAATTTATAAAAAATATATTCTGCCTAAGAAGAAACAAACCCTCAAACCAGAATTGGCAAGAAAGACCTATATATTTCCAGAGACAGATTATATGGAAAGTCTGAAAGATAAACTTTTCCTCAGCTTTCAAGATGGGAGGACATTGCAGACACTGCAAATGCACTTAATATTTCTTGAACATAAATAGGCAATAATTTTTTGTTGAATACTGGACAGCCTCTGATATTGGAACACACCCCAGGAGTTCCAGAGACGTTTATTATTCTCAAAACAGCTATTTGGAGAATGTTTTTTGATACTGTTAAAAAGGAGTAGAAATACACATCAAAACAAGAAAAACATTGATCAAACTGCCCTGTTTTACTGTACTAAAGTTTAAATCCCCAGAACTGAGGGAGAATCTCAATATTGTTAAGGATTTGAAGTTACAGTTTTACTGGGGTAACCACCACGTAACACTCCATTCATAGAACCTTGTTGACCCTAAAAGAGATCTGCAAAGTGAGAGTGCAGGAGGCATGACAAGTTAAACATACGGTGTTTATTTGTACTTTGTTTAAAACTGCTTAAAAATGTTAATAATTTAAACCTGACATACTTCTAGTATTCAGCAAAAAATTAGTTATTACAAAACGATAAGAGATAAAATTAACGTTTACTAATACAACACTAAAAAAGGAAATTTAAACACCTGTGAATATAAAATGAATCATCAGTAATTCATGAAAGACCAGTAAGTGATGTGTCAATAAATACCAGGTATTCTTTGGTAATCAGTCTTCTTGTTGGCTATCTTTATTTTGTTCCTAAAAATTAATATATATTACTCTTAGAATTTTACTGAATTAATAAGTAAAAATCATAAATAGAAAAATTAATAAAGATAAAAATAAATTTATGAAATACTTCTTTGTATGTTTACATAACCTTGAAGTATATGATGAATGAGTACAGATTTCATGCTCTCCACAGTAGTTTTTTTATAAAAACATTTTAGTGACAAAATCTTTACAAAAGAAACTCAAAACCATTTTCTAAAAACATCATGTTATATTGAGTTTTTTAATATTTATATGAGTAAATGTGTATAGAATGAATTATAAGTAAATAAAAAGTTAGATGCAAGTATGCAATTACTTTTAAGTAGTTTAAATTTGAAATATAATACCATAATAACCTACAATTGCTTGTCCTAAAATTTACTCCACATATTAAATAATTGAACCAAAATGATTAAAGGTATCCAAAGAAAGACAAATGATTTGAAGAGTAGCCTGGTAAGAAAGAATAAAAGATGCCTTTAAACCTTTCCTAATTTCTACAAAACATTAAAGCTATAAACTGTGCTTCTTTTCCAAGGTGCCAAGTTGTAAAACCTATGGAACTGATGAATTTATATAATGTATTAAATAATGAAGCAATTTAAAACACACAAATGAAGCAGATATTATTTAGAGTCAACATTTCCCAAAGTAACCAGAATTAAAACAACTTATAATTTTCAGTGCATGATGGATAATCAATGTCAAAGTACACAAGAAATAGAGGGAAAAGTACAACTAGCATGCAAGACTATCATTAGTCATTCAATATAACAGCGTTACGTTCTCTCAAAAGTTTTCTGAAGTTTATTTTTTCAGTCATTCTCTTAGACATGTTCATCGGTGCATTTATTTTGTCTTATTAAATTTAATTTGGAAAATGTACTTTAAAGGAATTTACCTTCAGTAGCACAGATGTGGTATCGAATGCCATTATTCAAAGAGCATTAATTACTTACCTAATTTTTTCTTTAACTTCTTTGATTTCATTTTCTGTGCCCTCTTCAGCATTTGTTGGGCAGTAGAAATATCCTTAAAGCCCCTATTGAAAGATTAAATTTCATAAAGGCATAATAAATGTGCAGACCTTATTTAGATATGCATGTACACATAAAGATACAAATCTGAATTACATCTTACTAAAATAAAGTGGGATTCACATTTAAGAAATATCAGTTTAATTAGATGTATAGTTTCTTAAAAGCTAACGAAAGTATTCTTAAAATCTTGAAAAATATCTGCATTGGACGTTTATAAATTTCTCAGTTTTTAAAGTTTTTAACGTAAGACATACCACATACCATTCTTCTGAAATTTTTTCTTCTTTTTCAGATTTTAGCAAAGTCTTTCTGCCGGTCTTTGGTTCAGGTGTCAAGGATAAAGTTCTATTCTCTGATCTGGCAATAGGAAAGAACCGCTTTTAACTGAATCAACACAAGTACATCAGCACTTTTTAAAACTGCAAGTTGTTTATATTGTCTCAAACTTGAAAATAAAATGTATTTAAATTACTGAAAAACTTTATCTTGAAAGTAATAAAAGTCTGCCATTAATTTCAAATGTTTACATTTCAATTACTTGAAGCATATTTCAATCCTTTTGTCAAAAGTAATGTAGCAGTGGGGCTTTAATTCTAATCCTTAACTCTGCCTATAGAGCAGTATTTAAAGATCCACATTGTTACAACAATTAATTACATTATTTCACTGGCACATAAATTTTCTAGTTGCCTTAATGCAAACTACCTCACACATTTATCTTACACTGAAAACTCTGTGAGATCATGATGATATTTTTAATACTAAAAGTTGTTGCATTGTGTAAACTAGTAAGTTCACATCTATTTTTGAACTTGTACTGCTTTTGTAAGAAATGATTCTTGTCCTTTATAGGTTAATCCTCTAAGTGTCTTAGCTTACCTGCTATTAAATTGTGTGTGTTCTGATGAAAACACATTTTCTTTCTCATTACATAGCCATGCTTGAGCTGGATGATTCGGCAAATCAGGTGAAATATCATCATATTTTAAGTTTCCAGAGATCTTATCAGAAAAATTGCAAATAAGTGTAAATTTAAAAATTCCAGCATTTACACTGTATTACTTTACGTGCTTTGCATGTAAAGTAGCATCCTAAGGGAAGTTCACTATAAAATTAAAAATTATAATAAAATAAAATTTATGAAATATATATAAATGTCCTCTGGGTCGTGCTTTTTGGGATAGCTCACATATACAAAATGATTCATTGCAAAGATCTTAAAAAATCTCAGAAAACAAAACTTCAAAGATGATCAAATAAATAACAGCTATTGCCGTCCATTGACCTCTGGCTGAGAATCTTCAGCTGTTGACTTCTTAATGCATATTTTTGTATTTCTAAAGTGCTGTCAACTAGTAATTTTAGTCTACTGCCAAATATGCAGCTGAGGCATATCATTTTTTTTTTTTTTTGCTACTGTGAAATAAAGTGTTGAAAGAAATCCAAAATAAAGAAAAAAAAAGAGGCAAATGAAAGAAAAGCTACATGAAAAATTACATCTGGGGATGAGGAGGAAGTCAGAGGCTGCTAAAAGTAATTATGTTTTTCCAGTCAATAAATTGTATTATTAATCACTGGGGCATAGCACAACCTTAAGAAATGAGCAAAGATTGAGCACTCAGAAGTTTCCATGACATGTTACCTTTGGCCAGTGCAGCTGGTTTGAGAGAAGCAGTGTTTGTGAAGGGAAGCGGGAGGGATCTAAATCCAGCCATTCTTTCTCTGAGGCAGCCTGCACAAATAACATTAAGATGTACATAATTTAGTTTGCATAACTTTCGAAACGTTTCTTTTAAATTGTCCTATAAACTACGAATGTTGACAAACGCTATCAGAATTTTTATTTACAGGAAATTTGCTACTTGCTATTCTGAGATGATATGCATCTGTTGAATGCAAACATACTAAGAAATAGGATAAGACTTTTCATCCCTAAGTTTTGGATAAAGTGAAAACTGATATTCAAGTGCTCTGAAAAATGAGGGGCAGACTGCTCAGGGTATAAACAGTTTAACTGTTTATGACTGTGATTCGGAGCCAAATCTGGATATAACGGAGGAAAGTTACCTTTTAAATGTTTACTGCACAAGTTGTAGCATTTTCCATCATAGATCACTACTAAAAATCTATAGTATAATAAAACATTATCAATTTTCTCATAAACAGTCTGTAAGCTAACTTTTCCTTAATTTTTTTAAAAATTTCACAAATGGATGGAAAACTTTGTGGCAGTAAGTAAAAGAATATAAAGAACATGGGCCCTGATATTATATTCTCGAATTCAACTGTTTGAATAATAAAACTATAAACTTAAAGCTAAATTTGGAAATGTCTATTTTAAATCCCCTTCTCTTTACCTTAAAACATTTTTCTTCCATTTATAGAATTTCCAAATTCATTCTATCTTTCTACAATAGGACCATGCTTTCTACAGCAGGAATTCAATCGAATTTCATTTGATTGAATTATCTAGGGCAGTTTAGAATAAACTTTTATGGTTCTATAATTTTTTAAATCTTTGTAAGAAAAGATTATCAGAATATGAATTAATTTGTTTTTTTAAAGATTCTAAAATAATCAAACATAGTTGTAATCTGAAAGCTAGGATATATTATGAGGAGATGTAGGTGTGATTTTCCTTGTATACAATTTCAGTGTCTCTCGACAGCCTTTTGACGAGACTGAGCATGTGCCCAGAGATGGTTGTAGATATGTACTGCCTTTTGAAAGACCACTGAAAGACAGGACTAAGATATGCTGACTACAGACAGGCAGTGCAATCAAAGACTTTTCCCTGTAGCACTTAGTCTTAGGAACTAAATCTAACGCATGTTATTTGAGTATTATGTAAATAGATACCTCTGCCCAATTGTTAGGCATGCACATTGTCATATTCCTTTTAGATGGGGATTATTAACAAATTTATGTTAATGGTATCTGGTTTAAGAATCGCTGTTTGTTCTAGGCGTGGTGGCTCACGCCTGTAATCCTAGCACTTTGGGAAGCCGAGGCAGGTGGATTGCCTGAGCTCATGTTTGAGACCAGCCGGACCAAATGCAAAACCCCATCTCTAAAAAATAGCCAGCTGTTGTGGCAGGCGCCTGTGGTCCCAGCTACTTGGGAGGCTGAGGCAAGAGAATGGTTTAAGCCCAGGAGTTGGAGGTTGCTGTGAACTGTGATGCCATGGCACACTACTGAGGGTGACAAAGTGATACTCTGTCTCAAACAAACAAACAAATAAACAAACAAACAAAAAAAGAATTGCTATTTGTGAGTGAGATAGGAGGAATGAGTTCATGAGATCTGTTATACTCAGCATGATGACTCCATGCTGAATTACAGTGTATTACATTCATGAAAATTAGTAAGAAAGTAAATTTTAAGCTTTTTATTACAAAAAAGTACATAAGGTAGCTCACACATTAATGAGCCTGACTTAGGCATCACACAATGTATAAATACATCAAATATGTTATATGTTATAAACATATATAATTTTCATTTGTTAATTAAAAAACTTTAATTTCTATAATTGTAAAAAAAAGTGTTATTGCCGAGAAAGAGAGAGCTCTCATCAGATAAACTAACATCCCACCTTCTCGTCATCACAGAGAGGAAAAGCAGGTTTGAAAATGGCAGTGCAGAAACAACGGCTACCAGTCAGGGAGGACAAACAACATTCCCCGTTCAGGTCATTCTGGGCGATAAATAAATGTGATAACTGATCTAGTTTTAAAATGAATTACTATTTTGCAATTTTGCTGTTTGCAAACAGGATTCAGAACTTGGATGTTTAAATTCTTCTTCTGGGATGACAAAGAGAAACCCGGTCACATCCCAGGGGAGACGGAGAGTGGCAGCGTATCAGCTGTAATCAAAATAGTGTTCTTATTCTGGTGAAAACTGCTAAAACGAAGAGAAGACATGAAGATGTGGAGGAGCACAATTTCTGCAAGTTGACCACTCGAGAGACTGCAGCAACCTGCAGTTGGTATAAGGAACTTCCATGAAGATGGGTCTATGAGAACCAGGTCAACGTGAGGAGTGGTCAACTCTGGAGGTTCTGCTCTAGTATAAGAGGCAACTGCATGCAACCGGAGGAGTAGCTATGGTAACGGGGCCAGTGATGTCAGGTAAGAGTCTGACTCTTATGTTGATTTTTATATACACAAACAACATTTTTCCCCCTTAAAAACCTGCCAAACCACCTGCTTTTTGTATTCTCTGAACATCCAGCTGTTTTCTTTCCTCATCAGGACAAAGTCTCCAAAAGCTCACTAACATCTTCACCACATCACACAGGTGTTGATGGCGTGCTCTTTCTTGGAATGGCTACATAAAGTCCAAGGGAAATTTTCATTTTTACACTGATATCTAAAAGTATAGAAAACGTTGATAATAGTTTTTCTTGGTTTGAATGTAAAGTCACAAACTTTTATAGGATTTCAGAATAATTCTTTAACCACTTCTCTTAAAAATTTTGAGAAGCATGTAGAAAAAATTTTATGTTAAGGGTGGCACCTGTGGCTCAAAGGAGTAGGGTACCAGCCCCATATGCCAGAGGTGGTGGGTTCAAACCCAGCCCTGGCCAAAAACTGCAAAAAAAAAAAAATGTTTTATGTTATATGTTAATCAGGTTTTAGTAATTATATAATCACAACTAAAAATATTACAAAGACTACTGATTTATATGAATCCAAGATTATTAACATCAAGAATATTTGGCATTATTTAGCATGTTGAGGGAAATAAAATCTCAAAATGTCAGGAGGAATTGGCTAAGAATTGGCTACAATTGAATGTAAAAATATATGCTAATATATTATGCTTACCATTGTAAATTCATACAAATTTTACTTATCGTTTCTGCTCAAATGTTCTTTAACAAATAAACCAAAGATATGGAAAACTTTGTTACTGAAGGATTAATATCAAATTTACTTGTATATTGAAATGAACTTGAAATTGGATACATTTGTAACTGTATGTTCACAGTTGAATGTTTGGTCAGATATACATATATCTGGCTTTTTGATCAGAGAAGAAATAATTCTACAATGATCCAACTTTGAGAAATAGAAAATAAAGCTATCAGAAAGAGACGATAATGTGTGTATATGTGTGTGAATTTTTCATGTCATTGCAATGATCTTTGCATTTGACACATGACACTAGAACCACACTGGGCCCAAGCACAAACTAGCATTTAATAGGCCCTAGAAACTCTAGAAGTGATGATTGGATCTCTTTTTTACTTCCATCCCTTATTCCTCTCACCTTGCCTCAGCACTTTTCATTTCTGTCTGAATTAACTCTTTCTTTCTTTTTTTTTTCAGGTTTTTTTTGGCTGGGGCCAGGTCTGAACTCTCCACCTCTGGTATATGGGGCTGGTGCCCTACTCCTTTGAGCCACAGGTGCCATTCAATTAACTCTTTCTATACCTAAAAGACTTCCTTCATATATATGTGTGTACATATATATTATTATCATTATTATTATCATAATACGAACACTCACATTTTTTTTTTTCCTCTTTGAGACAGGGTCTCACTTTGTTACCCAGGCTGAAGTGTAATGGTGTCATCATAGCCTATAGCAATCTCAAACTCCTGAGGTTAAGCAATGCTCCTGCCTCAGGCTCCCGAGTAGCAGGGTCAGCAGGTACACCACCATGACTGGATAATGTTTCCAAGAGATGGGGTACTGCTCTTATCCAGGCTGTTCTTTAACTCCCAGCCTTAAGCAATTCTCCAACCCTGACATCCTCAAAAAATATTACTTTATTTTGTATGGAACCAGAAACGATGTATAGCTAAAGGTATTCTTAGTAAGAAAAACAGTCAGAGGCATCACCCTACCAGACTTCAGGCTATATTACAAGTCCATAGTAATCAAAACAGCATGGTATTGGCACACACAGAGACATAGACATATGGAATGGAATAGAATGCCAAGAGAGATGAAACCAGTCTCTACTTGCCATCTGATCTTTGATAAAAACAAAAGCATACAGTGTAGAAAAGAATCTCTAATCAACAAATGGTGCTGGGAGAACTGAATAACCACATGTAAAAGACTGAAACTCATCCCACACCTTTCACCCCTTAAAAACAGTGACTCAAGATGGATGAGAGACTTAAATCTAAGACCTGAAATGATAAAAATCTTAGAAGAAAGTATGGGGAAAACTCTAGATTATGTTGGACTGGGGAAAGATTTTATGACAAAGATTTTAGCGGCCATTAAACAAAAACAAAAATTAATAAATGGGATTTAATTAAGGTGATGAAGCTCCTGCATAGCTGAGGACACAACAAGTAAAGCAAAAAGACAACTTGAGAATGGGAAAAGATATTTTCAGGGTATCAATCTGACAAAGGGTTGATAACCAGAATCTACAGAGAACTCAAATTAATCAACAGGAAAAAAAGTAAACAATCCCAAGTACGTCTGGGCAAGAGATATGAACAGAACCTTCTCTGATGAAGATAGATGAATGGCTAAAAAATATTTGAAAAAATGCTCATCCTCCCTGATTATCAGAGAAATGCAAATAAAACCACCCTGATTGCTCAGCGCCCCGGCTCAGTGGTTAAGGTGCCGGCCAGGTGCACAAAGGCTGGTAGGTTCCAACTCAGCCCAGGCCTGCTAAACTATGACAACTGCAACAAAAAAATAGCCAGGCATTGTGGTGGTCACCTTGAGGCAAGAGAATTGCTTAAGCCCAAGAGT